GTAGTTGTACTGAACTTAAAAGGTTAAAACTGCAGAAGTGATAGAAAGAAGACAAAAATGGTGCCCATAGATTTTACATGAAAACTTGGAGGCTATGGTTTTTAACTTATGAAACATAAAGCCTGTAAAACCTCAGAATAATCTGAATCTTCTTGCAGTATTCTTCAGTCATTATAGCACTGATAGTAAGCTTAAGAACATATACCTGAATATGGACAAATACTGGGTCTCAAGAAGGGTCAGTCATGGCACTGAGAAAGCACTGGTATTTTCTGTAAAATGAATACTGATTTCTGCAACTTAAACTACCAGTATAAAAATGTGAAGTGATATTTTTAGAAAACGTGAGTTTAAAATTAGGTTCCTAAAAGCATTATATCACAACCTCAATATAAACAACTGGTATCAGTCTTGAATGATTGCAGAGCAGTCCAGACTTCTTACCCTTTTTTAGTCTCAGGTCTTTACAACCAGCAAAAATTAAGGCTGTAGCCAGAGTTAGGTGTATAAAATCAGAAAATTAAGATCTGACGTACTAACTGTATCATTCAAAAAATAATATTATTCAATTTAAAGTAAGGAAATAATGTTGCCAGGAATAATAGCCAAAGAAAATCTCGAGGAAGCTGGCAAAGGACTTACAGGCATGTATGTGGCACCATTCAAAGAGAGTGTCAGTTTAGCCAAATAATGAAACCAAAAAGAAAGCAGAAATTCACATAACAAAGTTGTTAATTCTAACTGTAAAATGAACCTGTGGAATTATATTGTCTTATTCAATAAATATTCAATAAACTTTCAATTAAAATTTTGACAACAAAGACGTAGAGCAAAGAAATTTTGGAAGCTGACAATAATTCATTGTCAGAAACATTTATGACTCTCCTCTTAGACACATAAAGTGGGACTCAGCACTCCATAGAAAGTGAAGTTCAGTGTTAGGGTAAAATCTGTAAATGCCTTCAAGGACGAATCCTGCATTGTCCAGAGAAAGGACAAAGAAACTAACACCTACAGGAGAGGCCTGGTTCTGCTCTATTTGGCTTGCCGTTACCCAGACAGCATACATAGCCACCCAGCCAGTGCATGGCCAAAAAAACCAGCCACAGTACATGCTGCCTTTACTCCATGTAGTAGTTAAAGGGTGAGGGAGGAAAATGGGGTTGTTTCAGAAGGGAAACTGAGGGGAAAAAAGCTAAGAAAGCAGGCCTACAAAGGAAAAAGGACTCAAGAAGGAAAAAAAGTTTAAAACGATCCTATGTCAAAGACATACTACTTGGAGGGAGAAACAGAAGCTGCAGGAATCTTAACCAGGGAAGATTTCAGTCTTCAGGGTTAAGTTCTAAATGCCAGCAGCCCTGGCTGCAGCATATCTAAACAGCTTATTTGATAAAGAGATGGTTTAGCTGAAGCACTGTTTCCCAGCACTTGGGCATAAACAACAGGAACTCAGATACAGAGAAAAACAGGTCAAAACAAAGACACCACCAGCCAGGCCAACCAGTATCTATTTTACCCAAAGCAATTGCTTTCAAAATTTACTGAGATCTCTCTCCCATTACTTCTGCTTCTGGAGTCCATATTTCTACTTGCATGTCCACAGACACTAGCTTACCAAGCATCTGCAGCCACATTGCTTTGATTTGCACTCCCTGCTCAACAGCATCTTTTTCTCCCATTCCTCAATTAGAAGCCAAAACTAATTAGCTCAAAGAGTCAGAAGCACCAGTTTCCAAATGCACAGCCAGGTCTCAGTTTTCTCACATCCTCTCCCTTCTGTGATTACTCCAAGATTGTCCCTCTCGACCTTTTAATCAAGGCTATATGTAAAGCAGATTCTTCATAAAGCTACACTTTCTAAAACACAGATTCTTCCAGACTGCTAAAACTGTCACCCAGGCTTGTATCACCAGGCATCTCAACAACTGCAGTGTTCTCCCTCAGTCTGGACAAACGCAATCTGTCATCTTTGGTATCCATTCAAAATGCTGCTGTGAAATTCACTTTCTGAGCCCATCATCTGTCTGTGTCTCTCTTATCTATGCATCCATCCAATGGATATCCTTTCCCTGCCTCATCAGTTATAACTACTTGCTTTCGTTTCCAAGAAATTTCAAAGTCTAATTCACCCCCCTTCAGCCCGCACTAAGCATTTCTTATTCTGTATCCAACTGCTCATTATGCTTGCCCTCTGTGTCTGACTTGTTAAATGCGAGGATCTTTGTTCTTCTTTCTGTGCCATACTTCTCTGTAAACATCCCTGAATGAATAGCCTGAGACAGTTGAAAATATTACTTTCATTGTTTGAGTCCAAGATTAGAAGCATTGAGGTTCTGAATTCAAAATGCTGTAACAATAAAGCTGGGTGAATAATTTGCAGCATGGAATTACTTAATGAATTTTGCTTAATTTTCTGTTTACAAAATGATGAGTTTGGAATTCAGAAGTACTCACCAAACAATCTTTGCAAATTATTCCTGCCATGCTGATTAAAAAGAAGCAAATTTGAAAATTGTTCAGTTTTGATGTATCTATAGGTCACCTTACAAATTTTTGTAGCCTAGTTACAGGAGTCTATCTTAGACGCAGGCTGTGGGTACAAATACTGGTGACTGCATATCTAAAATTCACTGCCTGACAATAACTTCTAAAATTATAGTTGCTGTGGTGGTGATCATTCCTAGCAATAAACTTAGCTTCCAAAATATCATCTGAAACAAATGAAAAAGATACAAACACACAAGCTATTTTTATTTTAAAATGCAAATGTTTTTTCTAAAGTATTGTCATTTTATTTTTAAGCCTGATTCTCTAAGGAAAAGATAAAGCATTCACTGCCTGAGTTTTGTCTTTCTGTAATGTTCAACTGAGTCATTTTCACTTAACCCCACAGTAATGTTTTCAGACTGCTGGTTAAAAAAGAAATGAAAAAAAAGATTTGGGGAGAGAAAAAAAAGGTACATACGGCTCCAAAATAGCCACAGTGCCTTGCTCATGGGTGGGCTGTGGAGGGAAGCAGGGGAAGTGTAGGGAGGCTCAGGCAACATGGGGGAGTAGGGAGATGGAGGAAAACCCAGGATGAAATGATTTGAGAAATAACTGGCTATATTAAGGCAGTAACAACAGAGAAAGATTGTAGAGGTGTAAGACAGCCTTCTTCAGAAAAACAGGTTTTGTTTATTCCTCTGCTCATAGAATTACATGGGGGTCTTAACTCTTTGGAGTGTTTATTCCTTTTCTGAATGCATAAATCTTATCTTGCTTATCTCAGCAGCTATCATCTTATTTCACTGGTCAGGACAGTATTTCTATACAGTAACTTCTTTCTATCTGAAGTGGCATAAAGCTAGGTAAAAGGCAGAAAACCATGGTCTAAATGATATAATATTCATGGCCCATGTATAAATATTCCTTCTCAGTATTCTCACAGGACTCAATCAACTTTCCTTCTAAACAGGTCATAGAGTTTTACATACTTTATTTCCTATTCCCATGCAACCATAATTTTCAACAAAGAATGTCCTGAATGCCTCAAAACAACTAACTAAAATTAATCATCTGGGAAAACATTAACTACACCCATGTACCAGATACAGTATGAGAAACAGGGTCACTAGATATCACTCTTGACTGTGGTCAGAAGTTCCTCAAGTCCTGTTCTCAGAGCTGTCTCAAGATCCACTGTAGCAACACTTTGCAGTAACATCAGATTAATATAAACCAAGATCAAGCTTCCGACCTTTTCTGACTGTATCACCATAACAATTTTCAAATGAGGGTTGGTACCTTCCATTGTAGTCCTCTCCCAACACGGCGTTTGGCTTCTGAGCATTAGTAATACACACCCCTAACCCAGAAGCACAATACTTATTTACAGTGTGATCTTTTACTTTGGTATACTGTCTACCAACCTGTATCTAGACCATGCTCAATTCTACCTGTGGTATATATTGTAAGCTTTCAGTCACAATTATTATTTAAGTAGTTAATTAGTATTTGTGGATGCCTTTTAAAGTGTATTAGGGGCTAAAAATGAAAGGGACAGCACTGTTGTGAAGACCTTTTCTCTACAGCCTATCAACAAATACTATTTGAAACAATTTGAAAACTGGAGATTTAGTTTGCAAGCCTCAGACAGAAAATTAAGACAATATATAACTTTACAACTAGATTTATTTTTTGGTGCATTCAGTTATAAAAAGAAATTTACTCTAGTTTTCCAAAATTAAAGGTATTCCACATACAAAACATATTCTCTGTAGATTTCACAGGATAATTACACAGATATCCTGACTGCATTTATTAAATTCTACCTCCCCTCTTTCTTCTTTCAAATACATACTGGACATGAAATCACTGAAGAGAAGTGAAAGTGATGAAGTCTCTAACAGGACCAATCCATGCAACATCTCCTTTTCTGCAAAGCAGTAAAGAAGCATGGCAGCTCAGTGCCATGTCCCACTCATTCCATTTACTATGAATGGACATCTGCTGTCCCCTTCCTGTTTTTCAGTGGAAGTTTAAGTCTCTTGTAACAAATTTTTAGTGAATGTTCTGCTCCTTACGGAAAATTTGAATTCCTTCAGGGGAAAGGTAAGTGCCTAAACCCTAAACCAGCCAAGTTTCACCTGAAACAGAAAGTATTTGAATGCCTTCCAGGAGCTGCAGTTTGGGCTAAGATCACCACTGTGCACTTCATCATCCTTAGGACACTGTCTGACGTGTCACCTGAAAGAAACCAGGCTACAACATAGGACATGTATGTTCCTATATGAAAATGGGGATATGAGGCATATATTCTCTTCGGGGAATCATGATGACAGCTCAGTAACAAAGTATTTGATTTTCAAAGGGCATATTTCAGATTAATTTTTTTCATGGGAAACAAAAATATTGCCTTTCTGGTTTTGGAAGGTCTGTAATTTAGGAAGACGGCTACTGGGATTTTTTCCTATCTTAGTTTCAATTTGATTTTGCTAACTTTGGACTTGAGCGATTACCTTGTAGATGTCCAGGAATCCACACTGATGGTCAAACCGCGTGTAGAGTTCGTTCAGCATGCTGATGACCTGCATGGGTGTGCACTGTGCACAGATGGCAGTGAAGCCAACAATGTCCGAGAAGAGCATGGTGACATCATCAAACTTCCTGGCCTGAACCTGCTGCCCCTGCCACAACTGCTGAGCCACTTCTTCAGGGAAAATAGAAATAAGGAGATCTACTGTTTTCTTTTTCTCCTCTTCCAGGGCTTGGTGTGTGCATTCTAGTGTCGCCTTCAGCTTATCCATTCGTTTTTTCAAGCCATCCTGGGCCTTTGCTTGCTCCCCAACCAATATGACATCACGAGTAGCATCATGGATAGGTATGTCTGAAAGATGGAGGCCTCGGCCCATCAGTTCATCCAGCTTGTCCACACAGGGGGAACCCAGAAACAAAATCGAATTTGATTCTGGCACATGAATCATTTGTCCTTTAATTTCCATCACCTGGAAAATAAAAATAGTTTAGAAAAGGAAAAATTAGCTGATAGATGTGGATCCCCATTCTACTTTCTCCATCCTTCCTTTTCAGCTAAAATGATAAACATAAACTCTAGCCTTTTATACAGAAGCCTCTTGTACTCACCTATTCAAGTAACGAGGCTCACATAGTCTAGTCATCAAGGTGAGTCAGAAAATAGCTTATACTGACACAAAACTATTCCTAAATCAGATATTGGATTCTATTTCAACCCAATTAAATAAGAAAGCAACCAGAATGACACGTATTTCTCAGAATGCTGCATAAATAATGCTTCTAAATTTTGCTCCTGGAATGCACCTAATCTTAAAAGCAAATTCCAAGTAGCTCCTTCTCTATTACTTAGCTATAAATTACAAAAAGCACAGAATTAAAGGGAAATTGCAACTATAAGAAAGCAGGTTAGTGAAATGGGGAAGTAGCTTCCATTCTTTTTCAGCAGAAGAGCTACTAAGAAAAATGTGGCCATGTTATAGAGGAATCAAATAAGAACAGACGTGAGAAAGAACTCCATAAAATAATGAATGGCATGGAAAAAGTGTACCAGTGCTCCTATTTCCTACTTGCCTTCTCGCACATGCATCAGAGTTGAAGGCTGACATTCTGTTAGACTTTGCAGATTTCTTGGTGATATAGATTAATGTAATTTGTATTTGTAGAATAGAAGAAGGAACAGTAGGAAAGGAGCAGCAGGTGGTTCATCACACTGGTTTATAGATTTTGCATTTGTCTGTTAAATGGCTAGATGTTTTGAGTGCTGTCCAGTGGTTGACACCAATGAGGCCCTGGCTTGTTACCTCTTAGCTCTATGGTGGCAGTTGAGCACAAAACTACCAGACTGAAATGGACATTGAAAACCAACTGTAATGATGTATTTGACATCTGGGGTTACATACATTCTGACTTTTATTAACTTATTCAGGTCACATAAAGTAACTGTCAAACACTGCAAAGGGACATTTCTCACCTGAATACAGCATTTAAAAAACAAAATCAATCAAACAGAAAACTAAGATGAACATGTTTTGCTTAAGCAGAAAATAATTAAATCAGATAAACAGGATCTCTTTGTAAATACAGCCTGCCAAGCCTCTGCCATGATAAACAATCACTGTTAATGTTTTAATTCCAGGACTGCACAAAGACCAGGGCAATACTGTGCTAGTTGATCTAAAAAAACCACGGTCCTTACCCCAAGGATCTCATAGTCAAAACAGGCACAACAAACAAACATTGTGCATCTAAGCATAGCATTAGGCACCATAATGCCTTAAATCTGTATTTTTCTATTCCTCACAATCCACTGAAATAAAAAGATCTCCTCCAGTCACCCTTTCTTTCATTGCGTAGGCATTCCCTCACTCTCACATGATTCACTTTATCATTTAATCCTTCTTCCACTCAGAATCCTTCCAAGCAAAATAGGAAAATCTCAATCAGAGAATCCAGAGGTGTCTGTAATAATGCTGTGATGTCCAGAGGCCTGGAAGCTCCTGCTAGGCTGATAGCTACCCTTACATGGTACTTTCCATGTTTGGTGGAGATGTTGTGAAGCTCCTGCTTCTATTAGGGATTTCTTACATCAGATAATATGCTGTCATTGCAGATCCTACTGTCAATGTGGGGACTGAGCCTAGACTGTCCCCAAACTCCTCTGCCTCCATACCCCACCCTGCTAGCAACCTGACAGGTGCCAGCCTGGGAACTCAGCAAATGAAAGAAAATCAAAATAATTAAAATTGTCAATTTTCCTAGTTTATGTTCCTGCACACCTACTGGTACTTACATTTTGAAGCCTTGTTTCCTCAGCTTCGTTCTGGGACAGCCATCTCCGTGAGAAAGCCAGTCAGCTACCTAGATGGGCACATTTAATGCTCCAAGACAAATTGTTCTTTTTAATTTTTAAAACATATGGCTCCCTGCTCAAAACATAAGGGAAACAGGTTCTTTCTTCATGCATGCAGCCTCACGCTTTCAAAGGGCACATATGAAATTGTTTTAACACTGAAGTACAAATTACCAAATGTGAAATACCTGGTATGGCATTTCTAAATTCTCTTCTTATTTTACTCCCTTTTGCCAGAGAGATTTCCTGTTTTCTGTTGTTAGAACTTCAGCAGTGTGCAAAATAAATGTATCTCATATTATCACTTCTCTCTTCCACCTCCAGGTGAAAATAGAGTGTCAACTCAGGAAGAGAGAGTATGACCACAGACCCTAGCTGAGCCAGCCTGGCATGGGGGTGGGCTGCTTGTCAGCAAGGCAAGGCACCTGGCTTGGAGCTGTGTTTCTTATGCTAACCTGCTGTGAGACTAGAAGAAAATTAATGCATCCCTCTGTGCTCCTGCTTCGCCTTTGTCAATTTGAGGTGTTAAACCCTTTGATGTGATCTCTGTCCGTGTGAATATATTGCGCCAGCCTTCCCCCGGTGGATTCTTCTCAGGAAACACTGATCAAGTGTATAACGTACTAAACAGGCACTCTGGAGTCCTCCACTCTTCTTCTGGGTAACCCTAGCCAAATTATCAACTCTGAGGGCTTATTTGGCCTTTCAGCACTGAAGGATCAATGATATTGACAACCTTGTAACACACTTTGAGACTTATGTGTGAGAAGCAATAGAAGACATAGACAATCCTGTAAAATGTCTAAGTAATAGTAACCTGTTCTTCTGCCCAAGTGAGACAAGCCCCTGCTTCAACATGTTTGTGGGTTTCTAGAGCATTTTAAAAAACTTTTGCAAAGATATTCTCTCTACACAGCTGCTTAAAGTGTCAAAGGTTCAGTGCTATTTCAGCTTTATCCTGTCAATATTATTATCATTTGCTCTGCTTAACAGGAATTGTCACTTCTTTCATGTTACATTAGTGATGCTGATGTCCTGCTCTCTTGATGATGGAGGGTTTTTTTGGAAAATGACCTGCCAGTCTGTTCAAGTTGCCAGATCAGGGAATTGGTCAGCAGAAGCAAAGCTGCCCCAGCTTGCCTGGGGAGAAACACTCAGATCTTGTAAAGCACAACAGTAGAGAAAAGCTAAGACTGCACAACTCTTCCCAGTTTTTGCAAAGCCCTTTCCATTCCAAAGAAGTTTCTGAGTTGATTCAGACTCTTTCTAGAAGACTTCAGTCTTCAACTGTGATCCAGCATAACCTCCATCTCTTTTCTTTGGACTCTCTTGCCTCTTAGATCCTTCTCTGTGTCTTAAAGTATAACTGAATATAATGGGACATCAGATTTGCCTGAAGCTTTCCATAGCAAGTCACACTTCTGGGCGTCTCCCCAGAGCTGCACTGCTTTACACCTGGACTGCAAACCTACAGGCAATCAGGATTACATCATCTGTCTTTTTTGTAAGCAGAGAAAGATTGAAACTTTTCTGTCATCAGTTGTATTTCAGTACTGCTACATTTCATTGCTTTCCTGTCTTGTCAATTACATTCTCACCAAATAAAATGAGAAAAATTCCACTGTTTTCAGAGGACATTCTCCTGATCTACAGTGGTATAAAAGAATATGTTGAAATGAGCAATTATGCGTCGTATTTTACGGGATTACATTACTGCGAAATGATGGTGCATCCTAAGTAGCTCTAGGATGAAAACCAAAAAACCTGTCACTGACTTTTACTTTCACTGCAAACCCACTGCAAAGAAAGGGAAGCAAACAGAAGAAGCCCTGCTTCTCAGGAATTCTTTCAGTCTTTCTCCCCAGAGACCCACCCAGGGAACATTGGCAG